AGTCATCAGGGTTCAGCATTATAAGCCACTAGTTCTGGCGATCCACCCGCTATTTGATGTTGTTTCCAGTTCGCCAGCAGTTCCGGCAAATACGAGCTCCGTCTCTAACGGATCGTCAACGGCCACATCTCCGTTCGGCGGTATCAATATATTTGCTGCCCCCAGCTCATTCAACAATCAATCTATCGTCACCTCAGGCTTCTCACCGTTCTATTTAGCCCTTTGGAACACCCGCTTGGTTGAGAGACTACGGCCACGCCAGCCGCTGTTGTCATCGTTTTTAGCCACCATCGTCCCCCGCCATCCGTAATCCTATCGTCCTCGTCGTGGTCTTCCATTTCCTATGGAGATGTTAGCATATGCCATACGATTTCTCCGCTTTTGCCAATGTTGTCCAAAAATATTTTTCAACATCAAAGTGACAAGACATATTTGAGCCATGGTAGATACTAGATGGTCACAACAAACCTTTACAGTGACAACTTGATTCAGTTGGTTGCAAAACGAAGTTTGAAAACTTATAGATTCATACGCTTAATTGGAACAAGATTGCAAATAGGTTCTTCAACACATCTTGGTTCGTCAACTTTTTAGTAACATTTCGAAACAGTTGCTCAATAGGTACAAAAAACATATAGTTCACACTCTGTTGCACCAAAGTTTTAAGAAACATAATGTTTTATGGAACTCCCATTCAACAAACACAACACAAGTTAGATTTGTTGCTCAAGTGTTTCATACAATATCACGTAGCATATAACTTCATACCAATTTGAGTGTAACATGTTTGCTCCTCCCATTTGAGGCATTATTTGACAGGTCATCCAAGCAGTACATTGAAACAGTTGAGTTTCATTATTGTAACCTAAAGTAAATGAAGCAACAAAGTTGAACTTTGTCGTATCAAGATGTATTCCCTGTACCATTTAAGGGATTTCTGGGCAACTTAAAAAGAAAAATAAAAGAATTCAGATGTTTTCTGTGTTGCTTGGGTTATATTCAAGCAATTTCAAAGCCACTGGAAGTCAATAGATAAGGAAAAATACGAAGTTCCGCTGACATCCGAATTACCACATTTTTTGAGAAATCGCATAACTCAAATTGCAAGCTTCGCGGAACACAACATCATTGTGAGTATTTTATTAACTCATATGATAAGAAAATATTTTTATTTCAATGATATTTCGTTGCTTGGACAGCCGAGGGATGATTACCGTGAGTTTCTGGAACTTACAATCATTTTTTTGGGCAAATTTCCTCCAAGAGGAATTTATTTCCGTGCACCGGGACCTGTGCATACTGCGCGCTGAATGGCACGGGCTATATACAGTCTAAAGATGTATCTCTTCAGGGCGCAGTTTCATCTCCACAAAGATCCGGCCGGATTGCTTGTAGTATGCGCTTTCATAGTTGGAGTGTATGTGGAAGCGTGGTTTTCCGCACCCTTCGCTGCATCTGCTCCTAGCAGTGATCTCAAGTTTATAGCGGATCTTAAGGAGTTCGAAAATTTCAATCCAGATGCTGCTGGTGCTGCGCAAATAAAATTTTCAGGCCATTTTTGGTATCTAAGTGAAGAACTAATTGGTCTCTCTGTGTTTGACACTGGCTTATCTTCCGAAGAACGAGAGAAGCTTGTCCAATCCATTCGAACAAGGCAAGGCAATGATGATCCGACAAAGAAACGGAATATTCTTCTCACTGAGTTGAGTACAATTTCGCTGGACCAGCTGGCAACTACCAATACTGTGGAATTTTTCAGAGTATTGAGGATTGATATCAGCTTCTTCGATGAACCAGTAAGTGAATGGAGTACTAATAAGGAATACCAAAAAGGAGAAGAAATCGTTACTCTGCTTCAAGTGGTAAACGACCACGCAGAGAGAGCAATCAAATTGATGCAGGATTATAACAGAAATGTGACAAAAAAGAAAAAGGCTTCCAGAATCTGCTGTTAACTGTGGAAGATTTGCGGAAGAAACTTCCAAATAAACAAAAGACAACAATACAAAACTTTGTTAATAAGTAAAATAAATTAATTTGATTGCCTTCATTACTTTGCTTTAATCCACTTTTGAAATAACGACTATATTGAACCAAAACACATTAAATGGAAAACATATCGCTTAAAAACTACACAAAAATAATTATTATGCATATACACTATGTTTTGAAAAAGTTGCTTACACCAAATGAGATCAATCTGACGTTCCATGATCTGTTTGAGGAATACCCACAACCGATGTATTTTTACCTATAACGCATACACTACGGAAGCGTGCTTCCCGTGGCATGGGGGGTCTCCTACACTACCATTCATTTAGAGCCGATGAGCGACCTCTAAACGTTAACGTACGAACTTCAAATTTTTATATGTTTGTTTTCTAACCAAAACGAACATTTTAAAAGCTTGAATTTACAAATTTGTCGAATTTCAGAAAATAATGGACGGCCTAACGATGGTAATCCACGCAAAACCACCTTCAGTGGCTTGCTCGATGGCAGATCATGCGTGAAGAAGTCCACGTTGTTGTCCTTGAGGAAACATCCAATTTGTTTGTACTCCTCCTCATTGGCACGTTTAAGCACCATTTGTTTCGTGTTTGCAAGTTCAAGTAATCGTGCCAGAACGCGAGAAGGTGGCGACACTTCCACGGCGCAACGCGAAAGCACAAAATTAAACAAAATCGAACCGAGATCTCGAGCGAAAATACTAACTGAACAGCTCAACAGTCGAGCAAAGAATGAATGAATCTGAGAGCAGAGGCCTGAGAGGAGTTGTGAAAGCAGCACTGTTTTATAACTTTACAGGTTCAAGCAGAACGATGTGCAACCAAGTGGTTCTTGATTATTTATTTTTTTTTCCTTGATTTCGTTTTCCGTGCTGAGCACCAATGCTACCGACGCCAGGAAGGCAGCTCTCATACCTGGACCCTACCTATCGACCCATCAACTCATGCACCGGGGACCAACGGTTTTACTTTCCGCAGTGCTAACCGTAGTTGTCTCTCACTCCAAAGAGCCTGAGTTCAAACCCAATCGGTCCCCGTCTGCAATAAGCCCCCGTTTCTAACTACGCCTATTAAATTATGCAAATATTTTTGAATAAGATGAGACACCGAAGTTTTTGAATAATTTATCAGAACATACAAAATCGATAAGATAAGACATTCCGAAATTATTTCAGTTTGCAATCTGACTTCCATTGTTACACCGGCAGTGTTGGCAGAAAAAGTGGTTTTTGACATTCGATTCAAACCATAAATATATGAAAAGTTATAACTTTTTTTGGAGACATCCTCCGGCAAAGTTGTTAGGCACTTCCTTTTTACATGATTTGTTGCATGGTTCAAATAAAATAGTGCTCTCTACTGAAGAACAAGTAAAACACTTGGTTTTCCGGGGGGTTACAATCAATCATCCTCACATTTTAAAACAGTTGTTTGTGACCTCAAATAAAATCAAAAAAAATGTTATTCCCGCTTGACGTGCTCAAGTTTGCATTTTTCCAAATAACGGTGACCAGAGCTGGTAAATATCACGGCCGTCATGTGAAAATGAGAAAACAGGTCCTCTCACTATCACGAGACGAAACTACCTATCATTAGCTTTCTTGTCATTTTCCAATTATCAAGCACTCATGAGAATAATTCTAATGCGATTTTAACATCTACATTTCTAACTGATTTAGATTAATTCAAGCAAGAAACCGTATGTAATCGGTAGGGTGAATATATTATTACGATTTTCTCGGTACAAGTAACTTTAAAAGCAATAAATGAGCTAGTAATTACGATGATCACAGCACTGTCACGTTTTGTCATGACGAAAAATTCGATGAGATTTTGAAGAAAATCTCTATCATCGTTTTCTCATCCGATGATAGTGACAGAAGTATCTCTGTAAATATCTCGAGAGATCTTTCATTGAAAATGACATTTGCCAGCCCTGGACCTTGATGATTATCCTTACAGTTTTGATAATAAAATTAAAATATTTGTATTTTAATGTTTTACCACCGATTTAATCTAAATCTTCCTGCTAGCTGATTCAATCCCACTTTGCGTGCATCCCATTGACGCCATATACTTTCATCCATTTGAATTTTGATGCATATTTTTTCTGCGAAGCTGATCTGAATTATGCAAAGTATAACAGCAGCAGCGAGAACCATTCCGAAGCGATGGCATCCAGTTAGATTTTTTTTTTTCTTATGAATGATGGAGGAACCCTAACGCTAGGAGTGCTGTAAAAAATGGAAAACTCTTTTTTCCACTAGCCTTTCTTGCCCGTGGCTCAGCGTAGCACATCCACTAGTAAAAGCTACGCGCTAGAAAGATTGCTAAGAGGAGAGTGCAGCCTGCTGCATCCTCCGCATCAGCTCAGTAATTCCGTTTAACTGTCGCCTTGGGTAATAAAATCATTTGCTTTCAGGGTGCAGTACTGCACTAAAACTGGGACGATGACGACGACGCAAGGAAGTCATAATGTTGCCACACCATTCACCAGTGAAAGATGAGATGCACGGAGGATGCATTTTTTTTCTCAATATTCAGATGGTCTTTTCGTGTCCGTGGTTGCTAAGGGATTGCTGGTAGCATCCCAGACTCCTAAAACGCTGACTTTCGCAGCGTCCAACAGAAACTAACAATGCTTTCCTCATTGAACCCATCTGAATTGAGGTGTTTCTCAAGCACCACTTCGATCCCCAGGCAGTCCTTTTCCCGATTATTATTTATGTTACCATCACTGAAGCGTATTGACGTAACGTGATGCTGAAATATTACTCTTGCACAACGACGTTTCCACTCGGGCAGGACGATCGATTTATACCCTCTATCACGGATTTACATGCTTCTTGCCTCGTTCATTTTTTCGTTCCTCCCTACCGTCAGGACAACTACAACTCATTTCGACCTTCAATATATCAACCTGTCCACCCCGGACTGGCCTTCCCCATACTTACTAATGCACAACGTCGTTTTTTTTTTTTAATTTTCCAGGTCGTGCACTCACGTCGCGAAAGCGACGCCGGAGTCTACTGGTGCGAGGCCCGCAACGAACTCGGAGTGGCCAGAAGCCGGAACGCAACGCTGCAGGTTTCAGGTAGGTGGGATAAGGGACGTTCGGTTTTAGGACGTAAATCGTCTGCATAGAACGAGATTTTCGAATGACAATTTCAAACGATGGTCGGTCCTTCGATTTTGTCATTTGTTTCCCAAATGGACAGTGAAAAAAAAGATTGTAAAATCCTCGCTCTTTTGCTGTTCTTTGAACGCTTTTCACTGTAGCATTCGATGCTTAACTGAATCCAAATTTGCAGTTTGTATCTAGTTAATCGATCAACAAGAAAAGGAAAACCACGTCCAACCAACCAACGCAACGCAGGCAGTCATGTTCAATTTTCCACTCATTCAGGAATTGAAATTTGTTCGCTTGTCACAACCCAACGGAGCATAGGTCAAGCCCATCCGTTTCGGAACAAGAAGTCATGTTCAATTATTTACCATTGAAACGCAGTGCTGTGTAAAATTTGTTCTACAACCCCACCGTCAACGGACGCAAACGAGTTCCATGAATTACATTTATTCGCATGTACTTACCCAACTAGTCGGCATTGTTTGGTGGGTCGGGTCAGGTCCGGCCTCCGCCAATCTTCGGAGACCACGACGACGACGTCGACGACGATGAACGTTTCTTGCTGCTGTCTTTTGCAGCCATTCAGCCGGGCGATGCAAATTTTCCAAGAGCTGCTCGACACGGCTTGGGTATGCTAACGACACAACCTAAACATTACCTACTGCAACCCCGAAGCATAATCCAATCGAGCTCGCTGTTGTTGTTGTTGCACGGCCATAACAAGAAGCGGACCGGAGAAAAGGATTATTTTATGCTCAACTTGAGATGGTCCTTGAAGGAGAAGTGCTTTGTTGGATTTCTATATGGAAAGGTTCAGAAGCTATGACTGATGAATGGAAAAGAAATCGATGTGATCGTTGAAATTTTTGATGGGTATTGAAGAAGCTCGATTTGATTGAAAATTAAATTTATTTTCGAGGGAGAAAGCAAGATTTCTACTTTAATTTTTGAGCCTGGAAAAATCTTTTTGGAATTGTGGTAGGTGGCTACCTGGGATTTAAAGGAATTTACTGTCTCGAAGTCTGAAGATATCTCTCCTCTGAATCTTGCCTGATATTCATAAGAATTCCTACTGGAATTTTGCCTGGGTTTCTAACGCATTCCCAGTAGGTATTCTGAGAGATTTTTACCAGTAATTATAAATGATTCCCTCCTGTCATCCAGAGAAAGTTATTCCAATATTTCTGAGCAGTGCTTTTGTGGTAAATTTAGAGCTGGTTACTCACTGATTTTGCATATGTTTCCACCTCATATCTATCAGGAGGACCCATAATATGAAAAAAAATGTATAACTGCATGTACACATAATTCAGCACCCTCTTATTGAGTCTGGTATACGGGTAAAACTTTTCTGCAATTAGCTTGACAGAAAACTCATAACTTCTAACATCTAAAATACGCAAAATGTAATCAAGCCTCTAGAATAGGCTCCTAGAATAAGCTTTTCAAAGAAGATTTTATAGAAAAAACTACTAAAACTTCTTCTTCTATGGTAAGTGAGTCAGCTTTGGCTTTAGTTAGTAAGCATATTTAGTTTTCAAATTTTATAAAAAAGAATTCCCTATGTTGTAAAAGTAAACCATTGAATTGAAGTTAAGGCCATTATGAATATTAAAACGATGCGAAATCTTTTAAATTTGAATCATCATAATCTTAATAATTAATTTAAAGCTTCTAGCTCCAGCGCCAGTTTTGGCATCAATTGTTTCCTTATTGGCCGTAGGTTTTACAAACGCAACGCAACGCAATTGATCTCTTATTGCCTTAGTGATTATTTCAACGGAGCATTTCTGTCATTGCTAAAAGATGCAATGGAATCAAAGGTGGTTATGAAGTTCATTTCACTTAAGAGGACCATTTGGATACTCAACAAGCTTTTGGAAAAAGTTCGAGTGATATTTATTAAATCAGATTGACGACCTTAGACCTTTGTGTATGATTTTTGAATAAAATTTTATTCATATTTTACAATCTACGAGTTTATTTCTTGTCAAAGACTAAATCGACGCCATAAGCATGGTGTACACATTTTCATCAGTGCTCAAAACCGGCAGGTTCAATTAGTCATTTTCATATGATTATGAACAGTTATCCGGCTCATCATTCACTGCCTCGTGTAAGTCTGAATGTTTGGGAAGTAAACGAGTCACTGACAGCAGAGCACTCAGTCAGTACGTTTATTCTTCCGTACATTTTCTATGGAAAAATGCCTCACTTAGATGCTGTGTGAGTGAAGGCATGCGGTATGAGTCATTTGTTCGTGAGTGACTGAATGTGTATTTGTTGGCTCTTTCTTTTTCGTTGTCTTTTACCGTTTAGTACATACGGTCTGGATAGTGGAACTGACAGCTAGAAATCTAGAGTGTGTGAGTGATGTAGTGTTAATGGTGCTGAATGTAAACATAAACAAAGCAGAAATTAATATGAGAATAAACTGCCAGTTCTGCTGTGATCTGTCAAATTTTATTGGTAAACAAAAAAGTCAGCTGATCGCAACTGTCTCGTGGACAGCCTTATAGCAGTGCTATCGCACTCAGACAAGCAGTCAATAACTTTACACTCTGTTTCTAAGCAGTGAATGAATTTAGATTTTACATGAGATAAAAGTAGTACGAACCCAAATGATTAGGCTTTTTAATGGATAGTTCTGGATTATTATATCTCTATTATAAAACGTATTTTATTTATTAGGATTTGTTTGCAGATTTGAGAACCTGTCCCGAAGTAGCTACATTCATTGTTCATATATCCAGGAGTTGTCAGATGGGGAAATTCAAAACTCAGAATCTATCTGAAAGCGGAACGCCTTGCAGACGACGACCTCGACAACCTTCTAATCCAACAGGTAGAATTCTCTGGGATTGTGGTAACGTCTCAAGGCGATCTTTATCGTAGAACGGGCTAATTCAGACATAGTTTACTGAGTGTGGAAGTGTGAGTTTTGTAAGCTTGCTGCGGTATTCATCGGTAGTACTCAGTTCAATTCGTGATCCTATGCGGCTTGCTCAGCGACGACCTTAGCGGCGTTGGGCAATCAGCCTTAACCTCCATTATATCGGTGACATAGGTAAGGGGTTTATTTCCAGGTGTTGAAGCTGGAATAAATACGAATAACTCTGAACACAATTGTACTTCCATGGACCTAGGGACCGTGCAAGATTTGAACTTCTTCCTTTACGGTGTAGTTTTTGTGGGGATCTAGTTTAAAATTGTTCATTTTCACGTTGAAGAAACGGAATTGTTGAAAGTAACAAACCAACACTATTATAAGGATAACGGCTTTTCAGTCAAACGGATAGTCAAAACTCTACTATGTTTTATGTCCGACGTTTCGGCCTTGGGTCTTGGCCTTCTTCAGGGGATCTATAAGTTTTTTTTTAATTAATACAACGTCGGACATAAAACATAGTAGCATTTTGACAATCTTTAGACTGAAAAGCCGTTATCCTTACAATAATTTCTACTGCAGTCGTTTCCGAATTTGAATATATCAAACCAATACTGTCAAAAGCAAGGCTGCAAATACTCATTTCAGCTAAAACATTTTTTTTTTAAATTATGAAATAATTAGATGCTATGATCATATTTTGAATTGGTAAGATATAAGCAAGGTTGCAAATACTCATTTCAGCTAAAATAATGATGTTCGGAATAATAAACCCAAAAGATTGTATGATGACATGTTTAACTTGTAACTTACATGAAGAGGTTACAAAGTATGCGTTTGAAACATAAAACCTGTAAATTTTGCTTTCCATGAGTCACAATCAGCGATTTGCTGATCGCTGAGTGAGTGAGTGAGTGAGTGTGTGAAAAATCGCTGATTGTGACTCTCATGAAGTGAAATAAACAGGTTTAATATGTCAAACACATTCTTTGCAACATCTTCTTTTATCTTACCAATTCAATATACGATCATAGTATCTAATTATTTCATAATCTAAAAAAAAACATTGTTTTAGCTGAAATGAGTATTTGCAACCTTAGATACAAGAAGAGGTTGCAATGAATGTGTTTGACATATAAAACCTTTTTATTTCACTTCATGAGAGTCACAATCAGCGATTTATCACACACTCACTCACTCACTCAGCGATCAGCAAATCGCTGATTGTGACTCATAGAAAGCAAAATTTACAGGTTTTATGTTTCAAACGCATACTTTGTAACATTTTATTGTAAGTAACAAGTAAAACATGGGCCGGTACCGGTGGTGTAGTGGTAAGCGTGACTGCTTTCTAACACTCCGATGGGTCTGGGTTCAATCCCAGCCGAGGTCGGTTGGCTTTTTCTGAGGCATAAAAATCTCTGGTCACGTCTTCCTTCGGAAGGAAAGTAAAGCCGTTGGTCCCGGCCCATGTGTGTTTTGAATGGGTGCGATATCCTACGCAGGTGTGGAAGCTGCCTTCCTGTACATTCAGTTGCCGTCAATGGATGGCAATCGATGTCCGTCGGTGATTGGCACTAGATTGCGGAACAGAGACCGACGAAGGAAAAAAAAGAAGAAGTAAAACATGTCATCATACCATATTTTGGTTTTATTATTCCGAAAAACATTATTTTAGCTGAAATGAGTATTTGTAACCTTGGTCAAAAGTACCACGCACAAATCATATGCCAATTAGCGCATACTACACACTAACTTCAGTAATTTTTACCGGACTTTCAATAGCTGAACTGTGCGGTAAAAATCAGGCATTTTAATTCAAAGTTCAACAAGGAAAACTTCACCACAATGGCAAGACTCGATTATTTTAACAAGGCTGACAGTGTTTTTTACATTAAAATTAAGTGAAACCGCTTTTGAAATAAGGGTCAAAGTTTTATCGAACGTTCAGCTGTTGAAAGTTCGGTGAAAGATTACCGAAGTTTCTAAGTGGGTATGATTAAATGCTGAAGTTTTTGGTTGCACTATAAAATCATGAGATAAAGTGGAAAATCGTATTTCAAAATTATTACTGAACTTT